TATGAAGAAAGTATCTTTTTTTCCCTCATTATATGTCAAAGAATGGTGAAATAAAATAGATGACATGGTAACCAAGAAACTGAGACAGGAAATAACACAGGATATTATAGACCAGTAAATGGTAGAGCCTGCATTTGAACCCAGGTTGTCTGGCTCCTGAGTCTCTGATAGCATCCTCCTATTTTCATAGTCAAGGAAACAGGCTTAGAGAGGTAAAACATCTGACTGAGATTTTCTCAGTCAGAAGAACTGGCTTGGCTTCAGACTTAATGTCTGTCACTCCCAGGCTCAGAGTATTTCCAGAAGATTCCCTTACCTCAAACTCAGAGCAGTGGTGTCTCCTACAGAAGCCTCTTCAGACTCCCACCCCTGGCTCCAGTAGTATCTGGGAAGGCCAGTCAGATGATACTAATCATGGATCTGTGTATCTTCAGGTTGCCTGGGTAACCTGCAGACCTTTGGATCCTGTCACTTTACTGGATAGTAGGGTTCTATAGCTTCTCAGAACCATAAGACCTTTGTCACATCTATAGAAGGCCCTGCCAGGGGCTGAAGATGAAAGAAACTAGTGAGAGATGGAACTCTGAGGGTTTAACAGGCCAGGTAAAAGACTCCCTGTGGTCTAGAAGAAGGAAACTTGGGACAAGAATCCTTTTATGAAAAATCCTGGGTGAAGTTCACCCAGGTCCCAGTCTCCTTCCAGAGCAAAGACTGCCAGGTAAGAAGAAGCAGCAGCATCCTTGAGCCAGAAGCTGAGCAACACCCAGCTTGAGGATGTCACTCCTTCCAGGGATTCTCCGTGATTCTCCATGATGGGAGAAGAGTTGGGCCCAAGATCAAGGGCGACAGTAAAGGAGAGGCAAAGGAGAACACAGTCTCATTGTAGATGTGGTAAGCGTGTTCTTTGGGGGTAAGGGGACATCTGTCTCTGACTCAGTACATTCTACCATCTTGCAGGATAGGATGTGGCCAACCCACTGCCTTATTCTTGCCAGTCCTTTCTAGACTTATCTGCTCCCTTGTCATTTTTACCACTTCACTTGACCTCTGGAAATATGAGAAATTCATTCCATCATGATCCAGGGGTAGAAAGGCCCCTAAATTCTCAGAATGTTAGTGGCAATAAGATCTATGGACCTACTGTCTATAGATTTTTAAAAACTTTTTAACTCAGAAAACTTATAAGAATATTACTGTGGGGGCTGGGGATTTAGCTCAGTGGTTTGGCCACCTGCTGTGCAAGTGCAAGGACCCGAGTTCAATCCCTGGTACCAAAAAAAAAAAAAAAAAAAAGAATGTTACTGTGGTCTCCTATTTATCCTTTACCTGTGTTCACCTAGATAGAGCTGTGTGTGTATGTGGTATATGCATGTGTTCTCTGTGTGATAGATGTGATTGTTTTATTATAAATATGTCATTCTTACCCTTTTTCTCAAATAGTTGAGACTAAGTTGCAGATATAATGCTCCTTTACCCATAGTGTGTGGTTCCCAAGAATGAGAATATTTTCCTATATAGCTAGCAGTTTTTAAAATCAAGCAATTAGCACATTTAATATTTCTGTCTAATCCAGTCTGTATTCAGATGTCAACTAATAATGTTATTTTATAGCAATTTTTCTTTTTCCATTCCAGGATCCAACCCAGGATCACATGGTGCTTCTTGCTGAGACATCCCATTAGTCTTTAATCAGGAGTGGTTCCTCATCTTTGTCTTTCATGAAGTTGCCAGTTTTGAAGATCCAGTTATTTCATAGGTCAGTTATTTTGTATAGTGTTGCTTGATATGGGTTTGTCTGATGTTTCCTTCATATTAGATTCAAGTGTGCTTTTGGTGGTAGGAATGCCACAGGAGGGATTTTGTGCCCTCTACTGTTAGTCACATCAGGAGGCACAGTCATATATCTCCTTCCTGGTGATGTTCAATGATCATTTGATTAAGGTAAGGACTTTGAAGTATATCCAGCATAAAGGTAATATTTTTCCTTTTATAATTATCAATATCTTGGGGAAGGTATCTAGATACTATGTAGCTATTTCTCACCAAACTTTCACCAGTAGTTTTAGTATTTGTTCATGCCCCATCTCATTTAAACATGAAAGAAGTGATTTATTTGCCTAGGACAGATCTATTTTTTTTTCTTTTTGGTACCGGGAGATCAAACTCAAGACCTTGTGCTTGCAAGGCAGGCGGCGGCACCACTGAGCTAAATTCCCAGCCCAACTGGGACAGATCTAGATGGTCACAGAGCCAGGGCTAGAACACAGGCCTTTCGTTTGACTATACTCTCATTCAGCTGGAACCCTGAAGTTAAGGACTTCAGACAAAGCTAGGTAACCAAGCCCAATAAAGTGAGGGAGAGAGTGGATTCTCTTAGACAAGGGAGTAGGATTAATTGTGCCAGCCTGCAGGGACCCAGGCCTTTCTTACCAACTCAGCACTTTCAAAATACTCTTCTTCTATTTTCAAGATTCCTGTGGATTCTCTCCTGATGAAAAAAGACAGCATAACAAGCTGGGCATGGTGGTGCGCTTGTGGAATCCCAGCAGTCTGGGAGGCTGAGGCAGGAGGACCACAAGTTTGAGCCTAGCCTGAGCAGTGAGGCCTTGTCTCAAAATTTAAAAATCAAAAAAGGCTGGGGTTGTAGCTCAGTGCAAAGGTCCTGGGTTCAATTCCCAGTACCACCAAAGAAAGAAAGAGAGAGAGAGAGAGAGAGAGAGAGACAGTGAGAGAAAGAGAGAGAGAGAGTAAATTTGTAAATAATTTAGCATGTATGTGAGTGTGTGCACACTCATGTGTGTGTTATAATTATGGATTATTGTAAGAAATATTCTGCCACCTAAATCAAACCACTGTAAACACTTTATTGTATTTTATACCAAAAGTTTTTCTACATATGTATATTTTAAATAATGGAATTATGATTTTTTTCTTTTTTAAAAATTCAGTTACAACTTGCATCAAGAATAGCATTTAGCTTAATGAATTTATCCATATGTATACTCTCATGTACCTACTACCCAGATAACTTACTTTTTTGCCTGGTGGAATACCTTGCCTGATACATTATTTAAGCAAAGAATTATCTGTATTTCATTTAACTTTCAAGAAATCACCTTTATTTCTCCTGTAAAAGCAATGGGAATCCTAAGTAGTTCATCTTAATATGAACACCATTATGATATGTTTATTAGTCTATCTTGTGAACAGAATATTCCTTAGCAAAAGGCACAAGGGATCTCTCTGGAGTGATGGAAATGAATGAAGGACCCTTTGATACTCATGTGATAGTTGGAATAAGCAATTTTAATTTCTCATGCTTATTTGGATTCATTAAAAGTATATGATTAAATAATTTCTATTATCCCAGCAGTGACCAATATTTCTCAACCTCTTCTGGTAACTTTTCTTAGAACTCAGAACTCACCAACTGTATAAGAGAGAAACCTCCATAAATGGTGTGAATATCACTGGTCTCAGAAGAATCTTCTTTGTCCCATAGGAAAAGGACAAGTCTCTTTAAGCAGAAAAGAGACACTAATGTTTTTGCTCTGTATTTTTGTTTTATTTTGGCATTTGTTTGTTTGAGACAAGGTCTCACTATGTTGCCCAGGCTGCCTTTAAACTCTTGGATTTAAGTGATCCTCCTGCCTCAGCTTCATGAGTAGCTGGGACCTTACCTGGCAGTTGCTGTTTTTAAAGGTTGTCGTCATGGAATATTTCTCAATGGGCAAAGCCTGGATCTAGTGGGAATCAGTTGTGGGACTGATTCAGTTTGAACTGTCAACCATTAGGATCACAGCTCAAGAATCCTAATCAGGAGAAAAGCACTCATTATCCACCTTTGCTGAGACGGTTTCCTTGTCCTGGAGTCAATGCTGGTGAAACATATATGTAGGTTTTATTTTGTCGTATCTTCTCTTTCTTTTTCCTTTTTCCTTTCCTTTCTCTTTTACTGAGCTATAAAATACATAGAGCAAAAAGTAAACATCTTAAATGTACAACTTGATGAGTTTTTTTTTTATGAGTTTTAAAAAATATATATACTCTTATAGCCACCACTCAAATCAACATTTCTGTCATCTTAGAACTAGGGTTGGCAAACTACAATTCATGAACCATATCTGGCCTGCCATTTCTTCATGTCTGTTTTATTTATTTGGTGCCTCATGTATGCTAGGCAAATGCTCTACCACTGAGCTATTTTTCATTTTGAGATTCTCACTAAGTTGCCCATGCTGGGATTGAACTTGCAATCTTCTTCCCTCAGTGTCCCTAGCATCTGGGACTGCAAATGGGAACCACCATGTCTGGCTTGTAACGAAAGATTTGTAACACAACCATACTTAATTATTTGCATATAATTAACTGTCTGTGGCTACTTTTGGTCTATGTTCATGGAATTGAGAAGTTTGTTACAAACACCCAAAGGCCCACAAGACCTAATATGTACTGTTTGGTCCAGTAAAGAAAACACTTGCTGACTTCTATCTTAGATGACTCCTTCCTATCCCATCTCAGTTGGTGTCTCTCTTCCTCCTCATATTGGGACTCTGTAACTATAGATTAGGTGTTTTTTTTTGGCACCTGGGATTGAACTCAGGACCCTGGGCTTGTGAGGCGGGCAGCAGAAACACTGAGCTAAATTCCCAGCCCCACTGTAGATTAGTTTTACCTCTTCTAGGACTTGATTGGAATTATACAGTATGTTATTTTTCATTGGAAATGTCTCTGAGATTTTTAGCCACATTGTAGCATAGATATAAGTTCATTTCTATTTATTTATTTTTAATGAATCTATTTATTTATTTTGGTTCTGGGGATTGAACCCAGGGTCTTGCACATGCTAAACACACGCTCTACCTGTAAGCTATACTCCCAGGCCTAGTTCATTCCTTTATTGTTGAATAATATTCCATTGTATGGAAGCATGTCAATTTATCCAGTTCTCTTGGGAAGTTTCTAGTTCAGTTTTAGGTTATTATGGTCAAAAGTGCAATGAACATTTTGTACAAGTCTTGAAGTGGGCAACATACATAAATATCTGTGCTAAGTATCCTGCAGTAGAACTGTTGAAAGAGAATTTTGTGTTCAGCTTTAGTTGCTATGACCAAACAGTTTTCCAAAATGACTAAACCAGTTTGCACTCCCACCAGCTGCATGTGAGAGCTCTGTTGCTCCTGGTTGTGGATTTTCACTTCGAGCCTTTAATCATACACACTGCATTCAGTCTATCAATCTGACAAGTAGTGTTCTTTACTAATATTTTTTTTCAGATTAAGTTTCATAGTTCCTAATACATGGATGTTTTGCAAATATGTAGCCTCCAGTGTTATGATAGTATCTCATTGTAGTACTTTAAGAGATTAATCAGTCAGCTTTTCCATTGCTGGACAAAATGCCTGACACCCACAACCTCAAGGAGGAAAGGTTTATTTGCCTCATGGTATCAGAGATTTCAGTACATGATTAACTGGCTACAAGGCAGGAACATCATGGCAAAGGGTGTGGTGGAGCAGTGCTGCTTAGTTCATGGCATTCGGGAAGCAGAGCAGGGGGATAGTGCCCAAGAGGAAGGGGCCAGAGACCAGGTGTAATACCCAAAGTCACACCTCTGTGACCTACTCAGATACACCCAGAAATATCCTCTATTAATACCCTAGGTGACTTTGAAGCCAATCAAGTTCACAATACAACTTAACTGTTAGAAGGAAAAGACATTTTCATGTTGTGGCTTAAAAAATATTGCTACAAAAAATATTGCTACAAATTCATAGTTTCTATGGGCTAAAACTTTGACATGTGCATTCTTATGAAACAACTGGGTTACATGATATTTTAGGGTTTAGTTTCTTCGGATATGGCCGGTTTTCTCTTAACACTCTTCTTCACATGGCTAGAGTCCCTTGTTGCTGGCTCCTGTGCTACATTGCCAAGACCCATCCAATGGAGTAGTGTCCTTGCTTTCTGACACATTTAAGATTATGGAGGGACACCTATACATTTTGTATTATTTGTTCCACATGCATGTCAGTCGTTTTCCAAGGAGCTTCAGTCATTTGTAGTGAAAATTAGTGGTATGGGTCATTAACTGAGGTCATTAAACTTTTTCAGTTGAAGCGACATCACCTTGGGTCACTTCAGTGAGACAGACACAAAAGATATAATATTAAAAAGTCACATGAGCCCGCCCACGTGGTTGCCACCAAAACAGTGAGGAACTGGGGGAGGATGATGGCCCGTGCAGCTCCTTGCAGACAATGTGGCAGCAATGTCCGTAAGCCAGAACACAAAGTTATCATTGTTGGGTTGGATAATGCAGAAAAAACTATCATCCTTTACCAATTTTCTATGAATGAAGTTGTACATACATCCCTACAATAGGAAGTAATGTAGAAGAGGTAGTAATTAATAATACATCTTTCCTGACGTTGGATATCGGTGGCCAAGAATATCTTTGCTCTTCCTGGAATACTTACTATACTAATACAGAGTTTGTAATAGTTGTTGTGGACGGTACAGACAGAGAGGATTTCTGTAACTAGAGAAGAACTCTACAAAATGTTAGCTCATGAGGACCTAAGGAAAGCTGGACTGCTGATTTTTGCTAATAAACAAGATGTTAATGCATGACTGTAGCAGAAATCTCCCAGTTCTTTAAGCTCACTTTGATTAAAGATCACCAGTGGCATATCCAGGCATGCTGTGCTCTTACTGGCAAGGAATTATGCCAAGGGGTTGAATGGATGATGTCATGATTTAAGATTAGATAATCTCTGCTGATCTCTTCTCATAGACTTTGTAAAAACAAAGTGCTGGACTTTACCTGAAAGCTGCAAAAATTAATGGTTTAGATATAATAAACTGATTTAAACTTTTTCTAAAGAAGAAAAATTAAGACCACTTATTTGAAAACAAGGAGGAAGTTTCACCTTCCAATTTGCTTTCTCCCTAGTTCCTTCCAAAGTATGTTATTACAGCTGTGATTGATATTTTTCTCATAGTAAATCCTCTCAGGACATTGTAGAGCCTGTGGTAAGTACAAAGGGAGAGGAAGACATTTTGAACTTTCAAGAGCTTTATTGTCAGTGTAACACTCCCTACTTGAATGTTCTCTTCTTGTTCCATTAAGTCAAAATACAAATCAGCACATACTATTTCCAATATTTTGAAATGTAATGTTACTTACAGAAAGTATTTTGCTTAAGGCTGTGTATGTATTGTGTATATACCTCAAGTCCAAGTTAATGGCTTTGATTTATGTCCTAAGAAAAGCAAATAACAAAAATTAATATCCTCAGTTGTTAGCATAATGAGATAAGTACTGGCACTGGTGTTAAAGTGCTGTTTTGTACTTTTCTCCTATGTTACCTGTATTGTACTAACCAATTGCCCTAATCATTAAGCTGCTCTTCAAAAAAAAAAAAAAAAGCAGAAAGAAAGAAATGAAAAAGCTTGACGTAGTATACCTATTTTTTGTTGCATAATAGCACACATGGGAACATAACCCAGTTGAGTAGACTGTCAGATTCTTGGCTTGGTATTACTAATGGACCAGATTGCACAGGGAAGAATTACCACATTTATTCCTTTTGTTGGCTTTCTAAATTGCTGAATAAATTGTTAATCCATTAATCAGTTGATCATAAATTGTGATTGAAACTATCCAGTGATTTCTTCTTAATTGAAAACTATTATGTGAAACATGTCTATCCAGAGAGGTAACATTCTAAAACTATTGAACAATTTAGCTAAAGTCTTTTAAGGTACTAAATTATATGCCAAGCAGTTAAAGTGAATTACAGAGTAGGAGTAAGGCATACTTTCCAAGCAGTATTGGTAATTTCTTAACTTGGGGATCTCTTATTTCAGGAGTTGGAATAGTTCAAGATTTTGTTTCTGTAAGATTTCTTATATCTTCCTCCACCACATAAATGCATTGATTAACAATTTTAAAGTGCAATTTTTTAATGCTTTTGTGAAGTTGATTGAGAAATTGGTTGACATGGTATATTATTTGTACTAAGAAATAACTTGACTCAAAACACCTTTTATATTTGTGTAGGGTTTTTTGGTTTGTCTTTTACTATCTTTAAAGGTGTTTCTGTCATAATTACAAACAAAATTAACCTGTGTTAAAACATATTTTTGGGTATTTGTGTATCTTTCATCCTTTGAAATTTTGAAGGTTAATTCAAACTGGCATGTTATAGAATATTCAAGAAAAATAACTACTCAACACCAGCTTTTTAAGTTTCAGTGAAGGTTTTGGTAAAGAATAATACTACATACAATAAAAGCATTGATGAAACTTTGAAAGTTTCTTTCTATAAAATGTAAATTACTCAATATCTTTTTTTTTTGGTACTGGGGATCAAACTCGGGACCTTGCACTTGCTAGGCAGGTGGCGGCACCACTGAGCTAAATCCCCGGGTCAAAATTTTAAATCCAAATTAGGCATGAAAGATCAGTATTAATGTTGGATTTTTGTGTTTTATATTTGCTTTAATGTTCAAATGCAGATAAAACATTTAGTATTTGTCAACATGCTTTTACAAAAGTAAATCTTAAAGTACTAAAAAAAGTCACATGATATCTTATTGATGATTTATTTATTTTATTTTTTGCACTGAGCTACATCTCAGCCCTTTTACATATTTTTTTGGTTTTTGTTTTTTAATTTTTTGGGGTGTTTTTTTTGGTATCTTGGATTGAACTCAGGACCTTGTGCTTGTGAGGCAGGTGCAGCTTCATGTTTTATTATAATACACAGTTTCACTAAGTTTCCCAGGCTAGGCTCAAACTTTTGATTCTCCTGCCTCAGCCTCCTAGAGTGCTGGGATTACAGGTATCTGCCACCATGACTGGCTTCATTGATAATTTTAATACATTTCTAACATTAAGCATTCAAGCATACCATAAAGTATTTATGTACACTGTTAACCTAGTTTTCATTCTTGTTTTGTTATTTGTTAAGCTTTACAGTTATATCTTAAACATCTGGGTTTAAAACAGCATAACCATTTTCTGTTGAAATTTTGTTTTTGTTTTTAGAGACAGGGTCTTGCTTTGTTGCCCAGGCTGACCTCATATTCCTGGGCTCAAGTGATCCTCTTACCTCTGCCTCCCAAGTAACTGGAGCTACAGGTGTGTACCACCATACCTGGCTTTGAAAATTATTTTTTAAATGGCAATACTCAATCTACTGAATGAATAGTAATGTGTTGTCCTCCATTAATTATTTGTGATCATTGAGTATATGTTACTAGCTTTATGCAGTTATTTGACTTGGGTTCTTTGTAATATTTTCATAAATTTATAGATGCCATTGTGCAGTATGTGCTTAGGTCTAATTATTTAAGTCTCAATGTGTTCATTTTTAAAAAAAACTTAGGGCCAGGGGATTTAGCTCAGTGGCATCACGCCTGCCTTGTAAGCACAAGGTCCTGAGTTTGATCCCTAGTACCAAAAAAAAAACAAACAAACCCCAAAAAACAAAAAAAACTTAGCCATTCTTTGGTAGCAACTTTTATTTCCTGGAAGGTACATTTTATTTATTCATATTCAGATTTGAATGGCAGCCATTTTTCTTTTACCCTGATGATTTAAAGCATAATTTTGTATACAAGATTTATACAAAGAATTTATAAGTTCCAGAACAGGCCTGGTCTCACAGCTCTGGTTTTTGTTATTTCACCATTCTCTTCCTCTTATTTCTACTTTCACAGGTCTCAACTGTTTCCAAGAAGAGGAGAAAATGATCGAGTACCAGGTAAAAATGATATTGGTGAAACTGACCTAGAAAAAAATGAATGTATTATAACCATCTGTAATGCTGCATTATCAGGAAAACAGACTCAGAGACGGAGATTTTAACAGAGGTGGTTTATTGAGGAGGCTTCTGAAATACCTGTAAGACAGTGATGGGAGCAGGACTGGGCAGGAGTTGTTGACCAGAGGTCTCATCTGATCTTAAAAAACAGTCTGTTACTCAGTGTTTTGTTGAAGTGAAGAAGCTTTTATATTTTGAAATCAACCAATCATCAATTGCAGGCTGCCCCCAGGAGAGATTACATTGAGAGGTCTAAATGGCCAAGGACAGTTCTCAGGAAGGTTTCAAGCCCTTCTGGTGATTTGAGTGGAATGCCACGGCCTCCATTTTACACATAGAAACCATAAAAAACCACATACACAACATTCTATCCAACATCTTAGTACATAGGATGACACCATTTTTCAAAATCCAGCACATAATGGTCCATTGTATGCATGGAAATATAATTGATTGTCTTACTTTTCTCATTGCTGAGACAAAATATCCAACACCCAAATTTAAAGGAGGAAAGGTTTATTGTAGCTCACAGTTGGTAGAGGTTTCAATTCCAAGGCAAGGTGGCATGGCAGAGAAGCATCACAGAGGAGAAAGTTTATGGCAAAAGGCACCAAGGCAACAGCAGTGAAGTAGCAAGCAGCAAGTGATAACAGCAGCCTTCTTTCTGTCCCCTATATTCTATCCAGGGTACCAGCCCTTAGAATGGGTAGCACTCACACCTATGGTAGGGCACCCTTAATCCTAGCATCACACCATGAATCAGTCCCAGCATCATATCCTTAATTGCGGGAATCACACAGTTTAGATCCAACCACCTCTGAAAAGCCCCACCTTTGACACTGCATGAGTCTTTGGGGGGACATCTAGATACAGGCCATAACACTGATAATAACCAGTTCCCCACTTTGTGGACATTTAGGCAGTTTCCAAACTTGGTATTACAGTGATGAAGGAATATCCTTTGTCAGAATATGGATGTTCAAAATAGAGTCCAGGTTGGATTTATATGTGCCATTTTAATATCTGTTTTCTCTTTGCCTTATCTGCTTTTGTTCTTCTAGTTCTTTTTCTTTCTTTCTTAAATTTTGTGTTTGTATGGATTGAGTTCTTTTCTGTTATTTGGCACTGGGGATTGAACCTAGGGCCTTTGTACTGAGCTATATCCCCTGTCCTTTTTGTTATTTTATTTTATTTGGGGGGGGGGTGTGCTGGGGATTGAACTTGGCACCTTGTACTTGTGAGGCAGGTGGTGGCACCACTGAGCTAAATCCCCAGCCCTTGTTATTTTTTATTTTGAGCCAGGGTCTCACTAAGTCACTAAGTTGCCCAGGCTGGGCTTGAACTTGGGGTTCTCCTGCCTCAGTCTTCCAGAGTGCAGGGATTACAGGCAGTGCCCACCACACCTATCTTTAATTGAATTTTTTTTTTAGGATTCCATTTTATTTGCTTTAAGTACATATCTTTCCATTATGATTTTAGTGGTTACTCTAATTATACATTATGCATCCATAACTTTTCACAGTCTGTTTAGAGTTAAACCACTTCACATAGAATGTAAGACACTCATTCCTGGTCTAGCATGTGCTTTGTGCACACACTTCTCCCTTCATCATCTCATCATCTCCTTTCTTCCATTATCTCATCACTCAGAGCCCTCTGTATACTTTTCACTCGTTGCTGCATAACTTGCCACCCTTCATATCAGTTTTGCCTTCATGCTGCCCCTGGGGAAGGAATACAGTTTCTCCATCTTCCTGCAGACTCAGCATCACATATCCCTGAGCTTTGAAGCCTAACCAGATGCTGAAAATTTGTTTTGGTACTGGGGATCAAACTCCTGTCCTTGTGCTTACGCAGCAGGTGGCGAAACCACTGAGCTAAATCCTCAGCCCCAGATACTGAAAATTTTAATGAACTATTTGGTGCCCTGTATACCATTGCCTAGATGTCCTGCCATCATAGCTCTTATGACACTTCCATACTGATGGCTCTATGAGTTATTCTCCTTGTGCCAGACAGTGAGTTCCTTGAGATCAGAAACCCTCCATGACTATGTTCCCAACCACCAACAGTAGGCCAGACACAAAGTGGTTGTTGATTCAAAGTGTAAATGACAATAGTCGGTGGCTTCCAACGTGATTTTAATTTCTCCCACCATTTATAGCAAAAAGCTGGGAAGGTAAATGTCACCTAGCTAGATAAATGATCATGGTAAGCTCTGACCTGTGATCATTATAAAATTCAGTATCATCCACCCCACCACCATTTGTTTTTACATTTCAGCTTCCAGAGATACCTGTGTCATTCAAAGATGTGGTTGTGGGCTTCACCCAAGAAGAGTGGCACCAGCTGAATCCTGCTCAGAGGGCCCTGTACCGGGATGTGATGTTGGAGACCTACAGCAATCTGGTCTCAGTGGGTAAGAACAGCTTCCTCCGTACACTGCAGATTATGCTTGACTGGCCAGCTTCTCTTTGTCAGTCACTAAAACCAACTGAAGTATCTAAAGCCTCCAAAGTACCTAATTTACTTAATAATTACTTAGTACTTTCTATGTGCTGGACAGTTTTAGCAACTTTTAAAATATTAACTCATTTAATTATCCTAAAAGCTTTATGAGAGACTCATATTTTACACTGAGCCAAAAATCTATTTCTAGTTCAGCCTATGATTATTTAATGTCAGGTGTTGCTTATACAGCCCACATCTCAACCCCATGAGCAGATTCACCCATTTTATCCCTTGTGTTGTATTCATCCAATACCAAAGTCAGAACACTCACAGAGTTTCAGTGTAGACAGAGTTTTCAGTTAAAACTATGTGTACAGGGCTGGGGATTTAGCTCAGTGGTGCCACACCTACCTCATAAGCGCAAGGTCCTGAGTTCGATCCCTAGTACCAAAAAACAAAAACAACAAAAAACTATATGTATAAAGAATGCCATTATTGTTTTGGAAAAAGGACAGCAGTCTTTCTTCTGAGTTGGACATGAAAAGTCAGTGAAATAGGTATTGTTTCCCCAATAATTAAGAACAAGAAACTAATTCTGCTGGTATAAATTTTGAATCACTTGTGTAAAAATTCTTTAGTCTTCTCTATTTTTTCTTTTCTTTTTATCTTTTTTCTCTGCTTGCTGTGTCTCTCATTTATCTATATAACTTTTATGGCACTGAGTACTTTCCAACTTGTTTTTCTAGCTATTTATATGTTGCATATCTACATTACTAAATTCAAGTTCTGGACTAGGTTGTAGCTTAGTAGTAGAGTATTTGCCTACTGTGCAGTAGTTCTAGAGTTCAGTCCCCAGCACCACCACCACCACCACAACAACAAAGATAGACTCAAGCTCTGAGGAAGCATCCATATCTGATTTTCTTGATCTCTCCTTATTCTGGTACATAATGTAATGCCATGCATATAGGAAGAATGCAAGAAATGCTTTAAAAAGAAGTGCATATACACTATAGAATGCAACCACTGGACTTAGGCCTGTAATGTTTTTGTTTTGCTTTGTTTTGTTTTTGAGATAGGGTCTTACTATGAATTCAGGCTGGCATTGAACTTGGGGCAATCCTCCTGCCTCATATCTCCTTGGTATTACAAGCACGTGCCACCATGCCCAGCTGTACCTGTAATGTTTTATGGGGGAAAAGCTCATGTCTAGATGTCAATACAGATGAGAATATCATCTCTGTACCTTATAAACAAGGTGGCTACAGTAGAAGTATTTTTGGATGCTTTCCCAATAATTAATGCCAGAGGTTAACTCTCCAGTTAACTTCAATGGAACTATACCCAGAACAAATACCCAAACACTACCATTTTATTTTTTATCTTTATTTTTTTCTTACAAAGTTTTAAAAAATTACATATTGCCTTAAATAATTACATTTGTCATAGAGAATTTGTACTTGTACATAATATGCCTTAATTCTTTTTTCCCATTCTTCTCCCCTCCCTTCAACCCTTCTTCCCCTCCCCATTTACAAAAGCTTTGTTTCCATTTCTTCCCTTTCATTCTCTTTTTTAAAAATCCCTTTTCCCTTCCCTCCCTTCCTCCTCACCCTTTCCTTGTTCCCCTTCTTATTTGAACATGTTCTTCTTACTTCACAACATCTATCCTCCATTTTGCTACTTTTTACTCTTGGGTTTTTTCCACGCAAGAGAAACAATGCAATATTTAAACTTGTGTGTCTGGTTTATTTTACTTAACATTATGGTCTTGAGATGCACCCATTTACCTAAAAATGACATGTTTATCCTTCTTTATGGCAGAATAATACTCCAGTATGTATAAATACATTTTTCTTTATCCACTCATCTATTATAAATTGTGATGCTATAAACATGGATATGCATGTATCACTATGGTATGTTTTTAACTCTTTTGGAAAGATACCTAAAAGGGGCATAGCTCCTTCAATGGAAACGCTAGTTTTAGTTTTTTGAGGAATTTTTGTACTTATTTCCATAGTAGTTGTACCAATTTATATTCCCACCAACAATTGAGAAGGGTCCCTTTTTCCCTATAGCATTTAAAAAATATGTATATTTAATCTTTTTGTGAATGGAGGGGGTTGAACCCAGGGCCTTTACACTGAGCTACATCCCTAGACCTTTTTAACTTTTTTATTTTGAGACAGGGTCTTGCTAGGCATTGGCCTTGAACTTGCGATCCTCCTACCTTAACCTTTCAGAGGGCTGGGATTATAGACATGTGCCACCAGACCCAGCTTTAATCACCTTCTTGAACATTATGCTTAAACTTTTCTATAGTTTTCTCATCTATCTCATGCAGTAACATCTGAAAGCTAGGATATTATATTCTTAAAATGTTAGTTATATTCATCACACTGTAATCTGAAGACTAAAACCAATGAAAGATTGGAAATAAACTTTAAAAAAGCTTTGTGACCTAGGTATGATTCATACTACTTTACAGATTCAAAAATTGAGGCACAGAGAGGTGCAGTAACTTGCACAGACATCCACCTTGTACACAGTGGAGCCACAATTTGAAACCCGGCAGTCTGCAGTATGTATTCCTAACCCTTACACTGCTCTGCCTCTGTGGGTTCAGCCTGACTTTCAGTGATCCTAGATTACTGATTCCATTTGGTTCTGGACAGAGTTTATGTACAGTCCCATCCCAAATATAACATGTATATGTGCAGCCTTTGAAGCTGCCTGAGAGGCCCCAAAGACCAAGGAGCTTGGCTCAAGACCTGGATAATTTCCCTGGAACAGGTTATGAAGGCAGCAAACCAGATGTGATCCTCAGGCTGGAACAGGAAGAAGCACCATGGATTTGTGAAGCACCATGCCCAGCCTGCCGGTGTCGGGGTAAGTGTGATAAACCTAGCAAAAGGGGTACTATGTGAGATTGGTAGCTTTGAAATTTTGTTTAAGGTCCCACTCTTAAAAGACCTGAGCACCCCATCCTTCTTGATGATCGTTTGCCCTCCATGCACTCCTACTTTCCCCAGTCTGTTCTTCCTACTTCCACTTAAGTGTTGGTCCTTCTCCCTTTCTCCTTGGTGTATCTCTTGAGATTATTAGTATACCTTCTCTTTCACACTCAGATGTTCTTGCAAATAGCTTCTGTTTTTCCCACTCCTCCTAGTGTTATTCTCTAACACTTTCCAGGTAAAATGCTTCAGACCATATACAGCCTCATTGTCCATCCTTTCCTTCCTCCTTCAAATTTAAGTCACTCCCACAGATGGAAGAGTATGGGATCACAGAAGAGGAAGCAGTGAGCTTCATTTGGGAGTTAGGCGGTAGTAGGTATCCAGGGGATGGCTGGGTGGTAAAGTAGGTAAGGTAGGGCCCATCTTAACCATTTCTAATTAACATTCAGTGTGGATGTAAAATAGCTATATAAAATGTCCCAAAAGTATCTTATGTACCTCTCCACTTTTTACTTCCCACTGATGTCTCCTAAAATTGGACCCAGATTAACTCATACCTGAATGTCTGTCTTTAAGTCAGAGGTTATTTTTGTGCCATAGACCTCTTTGGCATTCTCTTCAAGACCCTTTTTTTTTTTTTCTCATGTGACAGTGAAAGTTGAGCATGGTGATACACACCTGTAATCTCAGCCAGTTGGGGAGGCTGAGGCAGGATTGCAGGTTCAAGGCTATTCTGGGTATATACACACACACACACACACACACTCTCAAGATTATGAAAGAAACAAATTACTGAAAAATAGTAATTATCAAAATAAAAAGTGAGAAATACAGTTATCAAGATATTCTCAAAATGTGTGACCTAGTAGTAGATGCAGTTCCTTATTTATACATCAAATAATGAAGTATAGCTTTAGGTCTAATAAATATCAAAGTAGAGATGATTGTAAATGCTTTATAAAAATCTATGAGATGAAAATACCATATTCATAAATAAGTGCACAAAGATATTACTCTGTAGTTGTTTATATTCATAATCAAAAGACATGCTCAATTGTAATTAGAACTTAGTGAGAATAAAGGTGTAATTCTTTCCTGTCCAAGTTCATAACCCCTGTGATTTCTATTCACCAAGAACTGGTGTTTTAATTTTTTTTGAGATAGGGTCTCAGTGTGGCTGGCCTTGAACTCATGATCCTCTTGCTTCAGCCTTGAAAGTAGCTGGGATTACAAGCATGTGCCACCACACCTGGCTACAAGTCTTGTTTTAAATCCTAATTTTGTTGAAGTCATTCTTTCATCTAATCAATTTGAGAGTACTTTATTAATTTATATTATAATCAACTCAACAGGATAAACTCTGATAATTGCTATATCAGTACTTATCAAACTCTAACATGGAATTCTTGCTAAAATACAGATTTTTTGATTCAGTAGGTCAGGGGTGCAGCCTGAGATTGATCTAATGAGCTTTCAGGTAAAGACAAAGGTGCCCCATGAAGACCCTTACATTGAATAGCAAGGTACTATGTAATGTTTAAACCTCTCCTATATGTCGGGAAACCATGTTCTACAGGTCATCTACACATTTTTGTGAATAAAGTTTTATTGGAACATAGTCACAATCATATTTACATAGTGTCTGTGTTTTCTTGCTACAATTAGAGAATTAAATAATTGTGAGAGAGACCATATGACCCATAAAGCCTCAAATGTTTTCTCTTTGGCCCTTTAAGAACAAGTTTGCCAATCCCTGCATTGTTATGTCATCCCATCTTTGAAATTATTTCTGTGTATCCTATGGTATATTGCATTCCATTGTGCCAGTGTTGTGAATCTTCTTTACCACAGAACATTCTTCCCTGAATTGTGCTTTTTATTATGGTTCATATACTGTACACACTTCAAATTTGAGGGCATTTCTTAAAGTAGATTTATTACAGCTCATAATAAGCATAAAAATTCATAAGAATGATTCACTTGTACTTTCTCCAGAAGATATCTGGCAAGTTGATGTCCAGAGGAAGAGACAGCAAGACACATTTTTGAGGCAAGGTGCATTCATCAGCAAGAGAGCATTGCCCCAGGGAAAAATCCATGCATGTGATAAGTTTGGGAAAATATCACTTTTGAGCACTGATCTTCTTCCTTCAATTCAAAGGCCCAATAATTGGGATCCTTGTGGAAAGAGTTTGAATGATAATTTAAACTTGATTGGTTTGAAGACAAACTATGCAAAAAAACAAGATGAGTGTAATGGATATGGGAAATTGTTGCAGTGCAGCAACCATGATAAAAGATCTACTGGACAAAAACCCTGGGGATGCAGTCACTGTGAGAAAGCTTTCAGCCACAACCCAGCACTTATATATAAACCAGCAGTGACCAGTTCTCTTGTGTACAAACGAAAGAGGATTCCACCTGCAGAAAAACCCCATGTCTGTAGCGAGTGTGGGAAAGCCTTCTGCTACAAGTCTGAATTCATTAGGCATCAGAGAAGTCACACAGGGGAGAAGCCTTATGGATGCACTGACTGTGGGAAGGCCTTTTCACATAAGTCAACCCTAATTAAACACCAGAGAATTCACACTGGGGTAAGACCCTTTGAATGCTTTTTTTGTGGGAAAGCCTTTACCCAGAAGTCACACCGCACAGAACATCAGAGAACACATACAGGAGAGAGACCTTTTGTGTGCAGTGAATGTGGGAAGTCATTTGGTGAGAAGTCATACCTCAATGTACATCGAAAAATGCACACAGGAGAAAGACCCTATCGTTGCAGAGAATGTGGAAAATGCTTCAGCCAGAAGTCATGCCTCAATAAACACTGGAGAACTCATACAGGAGAAAAACCCTATGGGTGCAATGAATGTGGCAAAGCTTTCTACCAGAAGCCAAACCTAAGCAGACATCAGAAAATTCATGCTAGAAAGAATGCCTACAGGAATGAAAACTTAATGATTGTGGGAAAACCTTGACCATGATACCCAGTTTCATGAGGTATAGGAATTTATCCTTAGGAGAAATCTTAACTTAATGAATTTAGTCAAAATATTCTATTTAAAGGAAATTCATACTGCAAATATGATGAAACTTTGATGGAAAGATTATGGAAAATACTTTATAAAATACTGTATAAACATTTTTATTGAGATAAAATTTTAAATGTATTAAATAGAATAACAACAGATTACAAAATATATAAGAAAAGACAGAAGTATATGATGATACTTTCCTCATTGTAACACATAATAATTATTTATATTTTGGAATTGTTAATGTGAATCACATAAATTGTGAATATCAAATCCATATATCACATAGTACACAGAATGTCATCCTCTCCAGTTTTTCTACCATTTTCACCATTATCACCATTTTCTTCTGGTGTCTTAACTGTATAAAAAACAGTAACAACACAATGGCCAGCTACTTTAAGAACTTCAGCATAATATACCAGCTACATTTTCTCTACCTTGTTTGTAATAAATGTAAATGGGTTTAGCAGTTGTTACTAAGCCCTTCTCTGAATAAGAAAGCAATGTTTTTAATGTCATTTGGTGTGTCAGTCAAAAGTTTATTAAAAAGTTATTTTGTTGGAAACACATTAAAGCTAAGGAGTAATCTAACCACCTGACATTGGGTAAACAAAACACTAGCAACTTGATAACTCAGCACGCTATTTAACAAAGCATAGTGTTTCCCTGGTATAGTGTACATTGTTCATATTTTCCTATTCTTGCTTAAACTATCTTGCAGCAAATTAGATGTGATATTCTTTATATGGGTCTTATAATTCAGAAATGTTTCATGCAGAAATCAGTGAAGTAGAACTTCTCTGCTGTCTTTAATTTTCCTTTTGAAAATTAATGCAGCAACATTGACTTTTCCCTATAACTTCTTGTAATTATCCTGGACACTATATTCCAAGTTTTCCATCATTCCAATGTTTGAAAAAACTTCTGTTTCCTTGAGCTGGCATGTTGTCTATATAAGAAAATAAATGAAATTGAAATCTATATTCTTCAAGATTTGCTTCCTTGACCCAGAAAGAGAAAGGAAATGAAATGTAACCATGACTAAAAGAATGATAAAGGGCCGGGGATTTAGCTCAGTAGTTTCGCCGCCTGCTGCACAAGTGCAAGGACCGGAGTTCGAGTTCGATCCCTGGTACCAAAAAAAAAAAGAATGATAAAAAACATGATTAAAAGAATGATAAAAATACAGCATGTACAACTCTAGATCAGTATATTTTAAAAACAGGAAATGGATGCTTTTTAAAAAGCAGACTAACATGAAAATTACAGTAATTTTTTTTACTGTACCACTGAACAAGTACTATTGAAAACAAGTACCACTGAAGCATTTGGAAAAGTGATTTAGGATCTATATTGAAAAATACTCCTGTCTTAGACAAATTCATGATTAATTCTATATATCTTTTAAAGTAATACCAAAGTAATTGATATTTTAATCTATGGACTTAACTATTCATTTTACTTTATGAAGTCAGAATAAAGTTGGAAAAAATTAAAGATCAGTCTTACGAATATAAAATAATTAAAATTATGACAAATAGAATTCACCTGTATACCTAAAGAATGACCAACTATGACTGTGATGACCAAATAAGAGTTATCCAAAAAATGCAGAACCAATTCAGTATTAGGAAATATATCAATAAAATTAACAGCTTAAAGGAGAAAAATCATGATCCATCAAGAGGCACTGACAAGGGATTTAGTAGAATTTGCAAATATTTCTAATGATGTACTATAAGTTATAATCAGTGGTAACCACTTAAAGGGTTTCTTTAGCAAAACCCCATACTATATATTATACTCAAGCCATTTTAAAAAATCAGGAATTGAATATTATCTTAGAAACAAGGAAGTATAAAATAATCGATATAAGCAATGAAAAAGAAAAGGAAAACTATCCCTTTTTGCAGAAGATATGGTTAGGTAATAAATGAAGATACTAATTTATTTTAAGGTAATTTTCTAAGAAGGCAACATATAGAAATCAAGAACTGTTGTCTGTACTGACAATAAACATCTAATAATTTATGTACTTCTTTTGGAAATTGCACTAATCCTTAATGATTTTTTTCTTTTTAGCTTTTGTGAAATCATCATAAATTTAATATGAAAAATGCTTGAGAATTTAGACAAGTATGAAAAAGAAAATGTCATACCAGGGCCAGGGATTTAGCTCAGTGGTTACACTGCCTGTCTTGAAAGCGCAAGGACCTGAGTTCAATCCCCAGTACCAAAAAAAAAAAAGTCATACGAGATATCAGAATATAACATGAAAGAAAGAATTATAATGAAATTATTATAATATTAGCAAAGGAACAGATTAATACATCAATAGAATAGAAAACTTAAAATAGACCTTTGTGTATAGAAAAGGTACAGTCTCGAATCACAAGGGAAAAGAGTACTTTATTTAAAAAGAATTCTGGCCTGATTCGCTTTAAATTTGGAAAAAAAGATGAACGCACTGAACAAAAATATCCAAAAACAAAGTCCAGGAGGATTTAAGACTTCAGTTTTTAAAAATAAAGCTCTTTTTTAAAAAAAGTCAAAGACTACACAAACTAGAATTGAGAGAAATTAGATTTACCAATACAGGATATTCAAAAGCTATTAAAAATAAGTATTTGACTACATAAATAGTACTCTTTTGGATGGCAAAGGATGTTATAAAAAATAAGAGATAATTGGGGAAAATATTTGTGGAACTGATTATAGAGGAAACATGCCTCAAATTGACAGGAAAAACATACCCAAAGAGCAAAACATGGCAAAAAAATAAATGCAGAGTTGTAAGAAGAGCAAATCTTAAGTGGCTGATCTATCAAAAAATGTTTAGCTTCAATAATTGTTGGGGAATGTAGATTAAATTTATAATGAGATAACACTATGCAAAGAGTGCTTTTTGCTGTCAGAACAAGATTGCTCTTAATGCTTGTTGGAAACACATTTTGAAAAGCAATTCAAATTGCTGTTTTGACAAGTAACCTGGAAACATCCATTAAAACTTAAAATACTTATTTTACTTTGGAGAATCTTCCTCTTGGAAGATATAGCCTCGGTACACAAAGGACAGGTGAACATATTTATTGTAACTTGGTTTCTAATGGCAAAAACAAAACCAAGAACAACAACAAGGGAAACTCACTCGAATAAAAGTAATGCCTATCAGTAGGGAAATTGAGAGAAGAAAATGTCTACATTATATCTGTTCCATAGAATGTTTATACAAGGTGGAAAATTAAAACTATGCTACTGGAATTAAGTGAAATTCACAATGCTTTCTTCGGTGAAAAAAAGCAAGAGATAATGATATATGTAAAATACTACCTACCTGTCTTTGTAAAGCAGTAACAAAATGTTTTTAGGTGTTTTTGAATGTATGTTATGTATGATTTTATATGCATGGAGAAAAGTTTGGAAGAATATGTACTGAATTGAGGGGAAGTGGGTGATGCAGGTAGCTTATGGGAGAGTCAGAGAAAGGGGGGAAAGGAGAGGCAAAAAGAAAGTAAATGACTCAACCAAGTATGATACCTCAAATGTGTAAGTAGATATTTGGGGCAGGGCAGGTAAAAGGGAGCTAAATTTCTAATTTGTAGGATGTTTGTGGTATATTTGTTAAGTGAAAGAGCAGAGTGTATAATGTATATGATTCTATTTTAAAAATAAAAACTTTGGGCCAAGGATGTAGCTAGTGGTAGAGTGCTTGCGTAGCATGCTCAAGACCCTGGGCTCAATCCCAGCACCATAATAAATGAATACAACATAAAACGCCCCACGTGTATATTATATATGCATGTATATTTATGAGCAAGGATAATTGTGGAAAGATACACAACCAAGGTGTTAGCATTCTACCTTGGTGATGGCAAATATAAAATAGTTGTGTACTTTATATATCTTTGTATTGTTTTACTTGTTAACATGTTACTTTTGTAAGTTAAAAAACATAAAATAAAGGGGGCCAACATTTCCAAATGCAAAAAGCCTTGAAAATGTTTGTTTTCTGACAAGATGGCTGACTGACCTGATCTACTGCCTTTCCTTCTGCTCAGTCATGAGAATGTCATGAGAGTATAAGTGTAGATGTAAAGAGCAAAAGACTTTGAGGTACCCCCAATAATTCTGATGGTCAGCCAAGGGCAATCAGATTTGGTTTACAACCCTAATCACCTCTAATCCTTAGTCCTAAAAAAAGCATTCTCTTCATAAAAAATAGATGATGAGAAACACTGAATTATGACATTTATGGACACTGGCATATAGCTTTAACTACCACTTAATCTCAATTGTCAACTTGTCTGGATTAAGAAACTCTTATACAAGTGAATGGATCATGGGGACCTTTTACTCATCAGTGGATTAATCCACCAATGTTCACAGCCGAATATTTTAGGAGCTGGGGCCCAGTTCAAGGTGGTCACTGGGGGCATGTCTTTGGAGGGTGTTATCTCATTGGTGTATTCCCCTTGTGCTCTGCTTCCCAGTATTCACAGAGAGCAGTTTTGCTCCACCGTGTCCTTCTGCCATGATGTGTGCTTCAACTTAGACCCTTGTCCATGGACTGAAACCTCTAAAACTGAGCCAAATAAAACATTTTCTCCTTTACATATGTTAGGTACTTTGTCCCAGCAAAGAAAAAGTGACTAATAAGAGTTTTTGGTTCCTTAGTGCTAATTATCTTTATCATAAACTTAGTAGCATAAAGCGACACACATTTTAAAACCATAATTTCTGAGTTGGGAGTGGAATTTTAGCTTAGTGCAAGTTTGGCTTAGCTCATGTTCAGAGTCACACAAAGCTGTAGTCAAGGTATTGGCCAGTGGTCTCATCTGACCCTCAACTAAGGAAGAGTCTGCTTCTCAGATCACATGGTTGTTGGAAGTATCATTCTAATTTTAGTATATGTGCTACCGAAGCGAGCACGGTTGTTGGAAGTATATATTGTTCATTGTGATGTGTTGGGCTGAGGGGGTCAACTTATTGCTGACTGTGGGGCAGAGGCTACTTTCACTCAGTTCCTTGCCATATGAGGCCTCACAGTCTAGCAACTTCTTTGAAATAAAGAATATGGTACTAATATAGAAGATATAACTTTACACACTATCACCATGGATATGATATCTTGTTACTCTTGCTCTATTCTATTAGAAGCAAATGACAAGTCCCAGTCAGGCTCAAGAAGAAATTACATATGGCTGTAATTTCCATTTTCACAATATCAGGTGGCAGAGATGACTGGGGGCCATCTTAGCATTTACCCACCTCATGGGGAAACACTATTTGAAAGTAGGAATGAATGAGGTCAATTATGTTGGAACAAAAATCTAAGTACCTACCTGCTGCTAGGCTCCATGAGTACAGATTCCAAATGTTCTTCCTGGAACTTCTCTACTGAACAAAAGTTATACAATGATTTATCTATAAGTATATCCCGAGTGCTTATAATGAACCAGGCACTGTTTTAGATGCTGGGGATGTAGTAGCAAATAGCAACTGGTAATTGTCAAGGTGTAAAAAATAAACAGGGCAAAGAAATAGGAAATAGGAGGGAAGTGAAATTTTAGATACAGGAGCCAGGAAAGTCCTCAAAAATGACCTCTGCTGATGGAAATGAGGGATCTAATAATGCTACTGTCTAGAAAAAAGTATTCCGGGAAAGGGAACAGCAAATGTAAATGCCCTAAGACAGAACTGTCTGCTGAGTAACCATTTATCCCAAAATTTAATAACCTAAAACAGTAGTAAACATCATCTCACACAGTGTCTATGAGTAAAGAATTCAGAAAGTGGGGCTGGGGATTTAGCTCAATGGTTCTGCCGCCTGCCTGGAAAGCACAAGGTCCCAAGCTCAATCCCTGGTACCAAAGAAAAAAAAGAAAAAAAAATTCAGGAAGCTCCATTGGAGTCACACTTCCCCAAACTGTATTTTCCCCTCATTCTTCCTGTGCCCAAATCTTTTGTTTCATATGGTCCCTCTTTCCACTCTCCAGAAAGTGGGAGCCCAAATGCCATTTTTGGTTATGGTAGGAACACCCCTGCCACGGCTTCTCTGCTTGCCTTCTTTCTTCTTCCTTCCTTTTACCCTCCCACCCTCTAGGGTCTTCACACTGAGATACATCCCCATCCCTCCCCCCTTTTATTTTAAAACAGTCTCACTAAGTTGCTCAGGCTGGGCTTGAATAGGAATTCTCCTGCCTCAGCCTCCCAGAGTACTGGCATTAAAAGTGTACACCTCTCTGGTTTCTGCTACCAAAAAGCAGAGTCTAAGCTGTCCAGCATGTCTTTCAAATCAAGTGGCTCCCAATGTGCCCTACCATCTGCTAATAAGAGAGGTTACAGGGCGACACTTTCTTATAACTGGCACCATGTTGATCAGCAAGACATAGGCAGCTGTTTTCTGCATTAGTTACAGCTTTTACACAAATGGTGAGTAGCTTTTCTACAAACATCACATTTACTGGTCTTTCCCATTTATGAATTCTTTGATATGAACTATGATGTATATATTTTAAAAGTCCTTTCACAAACAGTAACAACAATGAAATACACTGATGGTAATATTGGATAACATCCATTAGATTATTCACCATATATTAGAAACAGTCCCAACATTTCACATTTAATTAATTTAATCATCACAACAAACACATTATTAGTATATACTTATAAATGCAAACTATAACAACATTAAGTTTTCTGCAAGTATTTACACAGTTCATACATATTTGTGTATATACATGTATATAAGTATATTAAAGTCTAGAAGATAAAATTGATAAGTGAATACAAACTCACAGAATAAATTTCTACTATTTTAAAGGAGATGACTGGAACAATATTGGCAATAATTTATAGGGAGAAAATATTCATTAGTTATTTCTGCATTGAAATGTAATATTTAGGGCCGGGGATTTAGCTCAGTGGTTCCACCGCATGCCTCGCAAGTGCAAGGTCCGGAGTGTTAGGTACTTCAGAGCCCTCACAGAGCAAGCCCCCTCCTCTCCTTTCCCCTTGCCCCACTCCGGCCACAGGGAACAGGGAACTTAGGCTTGACCTCCCTTTGTTAGTGACTCTCTGCCTAGTTAAGGACTTTCTGCCCCACCGGTTTCGTGGTCAGATGTTCCAGTAAGATAGGGGCTTCCCGAAAATGGTTACTCCATCTCCCCAACCGAAACCTGTTGCTACATACCCTAGCCCCAATTACCTCCCCCCGCCACCAGACTAGTGCTCTCCCACCTGCAAAACCCCATATAAGCCTCCAGCTCAGCTCATGCTGCTGCTGGTCTCCCTTCTGTGAGTCAGCCTGGCAGGCTGCAGACTGCAGCCCCAATAAAGGCTTGCTGCCTGAACATCCGTGTGTGCCCCCTTCTTTGGCGACCCTTTCACTGAGTTTGATCCCCGGTACCAAAAAAAAAAGTAATATTTAACAGAAAAAACAAAAAGCATTAAAGTTGTATTTAGGAGGCAACTTTTATACCTGAAAAGCTTCAGAGTATACTATAACATTTATCAGTAGTTACTTAACAAAATGATAGTTGAGCACAGGGAAACAAATTATGACACAATTAAAAATAGTAAAGATCTACACTTATTGAAATAGTAATCATGGAATATTCTGGATTATAGTACAGCATGGATATTATATTTAAATTGGGAATGATTTCTTATAATAATTTGAAAGTAGACATCTCTGGTCAGTAGGATTAAGATAATCTTTATCTTAATCCCTTTTTTCTCCTTTTAAAAAAAAAATACAAAAACAAGGAAGAAAATGAGCTGTTCTCAAAAATGTTACAATTTTGCCACAAGTTAAATGTCCATGTAATACAAGTTACAGTGCCAAATTGGTGGAAGAATAGACCTATAGGTCACAACAATAGAAAAATGGCCCCCAAACATAAGCCGAAATAAATATATTAAATAGAGACCAATGGGAAAGGAAGGAATTACTGGATAAGTATTTTGGGTAGAATCTTTTTTTTTTTAGAGAAGGGAGGTTTAAATTTAGACAAATGTATTTTAAAATACATTTGATTAACAAATTACAGTAACGATGGGACTATAGTTCAGTGATAGAGTATTTGTTAGGATGCTTGAGGCCTTGGGCTCAAACCAGAAGCACTAGAAAAAAATTCCTGGTTTGATAGTGCAAGCTACTCAGGAGGCAGAGGCAGTAAGATTGCAAGTTCCAACCAAGCCTGGGCAACTCAGTGAGACCCTGTCAAAAAAAAAAAAAGGATTAAGGATGTAGCTCAGTGGTAGAGCACCCCTGGCTTTAAGACCAAGTACCAAAAAATAATAAACAGGTTATATATAAAAGAAAAGTATAAGCACATTAGACAAAATAGTGTTAACAGGGTGTTATGCTTTAAACTGTGTCCCTCCAAAAAGACACAGTGAAGCCATAATCCCTGGTGTCAGTGAATGGGATCTTACATAGAAACAGGATGTTTACAAATGTAATCAAGCTAAGATGAGATCATTAGTATCCATATAAAAGAAGATACATAGAATGCAATGCAAAGATGAAGAAGGAGAGGGGAATGCTAAGGATGGCTGGATTCCCCACAAGCCAGGGGAAAGGCATGAAATGCATTCTCTCTCAGAGTTCTCATAAGGAACCAACCTGGCAACAACTTTGATTTTGGTTTTTTAGACTTCAAAACTGTGAGAGAATAAATTTCTGTTGTTTTAAGTTACCAAGCTGAATTTGCATTTCCTGGTTTGTTTTCATTACCTTTTTTAAAAATAGGAAGATTAGTAACAAATAGCCTTACTTTCTATCATTTATGCAATATGAATTCCCTCATGGCGAATGAGGTCTGAGCGACTACCAAAGGCCTTTCCACATTCCTTACAGTGATAAGGTTTCTCACCCTTGTGAATTCTCTGATGTCGAGTAAGGTTTGAGCCTTTATTAAAGGCCTTCCCACATTCATTACATTCGTATGGTTTTTCATCTGTATGGATTCTCTGATGTTGAATAAGTTCTGAGCTCTGAATAAAGGCCTTTCCACATTCTTTACATTCATAGAGTTTCTCACCAGCATGAATTCTGTGATGGTTAGTAAGTGTTGAGGCACTACTGAAGGCTTTCCCACATTCCTTACATTCATAAGGTTTCTCACCAGTATGCATTCTGTGATGTTGAATAAGCCTTGAGTGTTGAGTAAAAGCTTTTCCACATTCCTTACATTCATAAGGCTTCTCACCAGTATGAATTCTGAGATGTGGAAAAAGTTGTGAACTTTTAGTAAAGGCTTTTCCACATACTTTACATTCATAAGGTTTCTCACCTGAGTGAATTCTCTGATGATCATTAAGGTTTGAGCAATAATTAAAAGCTTTTCCACATTCTTTACATTTATAGGGTTTCTCACCAGTGTGAATCCTCTGGTGTTGAGAAAAATATGAACTACAACTAAAAGCCTTGCCACATTCATTACATTCATATGGTTTTTCACCGGTGTGAATCCTCTGATGTCTAGTAACAAGTGAACCACGACTAAAGGATTTCCCACACTCCTTACATTCATAGGGTTTTTCACCAGAATGAATTCTCTGATGTTGAATAAATTGTGAGTTCTGATCAAAGGTCTTCCCACATGTCTTACATTCACAGGGTTTCTCTTCATTAATAGTTTTTTTATGTGGAGTAAGAAATGTAGGCTGAATAAAAGTAGGCATGTCTTCAGAGGTAAGTATTACTTGACTGAATTGTCTCTTCTTTAGAGATAATATTTTGGTCTCGCACATTGATTCCAGATCTGAAGGAAAATAAAAAAGAAAATATTCGGGCCCGGGGATTTAGCTCAGTGGTTCTGCCGCCTGCCTCACAAGCACAAGGACCCGAGTTCGATCCCCAGTACAAAACAAGCAAAAAAAAAGAAAATATTCATTTTTTTCCTACTCTGGAGAAGTTGTATTTCTAAAAAAGAAAAAGGAGGATTAAACAGGAGGATAAACTGGGAAAGGACATGCTTATATAGGTCTCAAATATGGTAAAGCAATTTGTAAAACTGGCAAGAAAAGCACAGACACTATGAAGAGATAATAAAAGCTGAGGAAATGGTTAGGGAAGTAGATGAACTCTATGATTCTCAAATTTTGGTGTGGGTTAGAATCATCTTAAACACAGGAGAGAACATACTGCTTGGGACCATCCATATTATATAGATTCTAAACAATATACATGTATATAAACATATATGCACATACACAGAACATCATACTCTATGTTTTGTAATGTGTAGATAACTGTTAGACCTACATGAAAGGACTACTGAGAAGAGTAAATGTGTTGAAATGTATAACTGACTGCAAAGGTGTCAGTGTCAGTGACTCTGCAAAAGTGTATTGTTGGCAAATTCACATTGGGGAAACACTGGCAGCAACTCTTAAAATGTTGAATAAAACTGAGAAATGGTAGGTAAGTCTTTTGTGTATAAAACATGAGATGAAAAAAAATTCCCTGAAAATAATTTCTCTTGGAACTCAGTAAGACTGACCTTAAAAAAGAATGGCAATCACTAAGTAGGGAGGCAGTACAAGTTTGAGACAGAAGAAACATAGGATTGAAATATACTGTGAGAAGAGAGGAACTCCACGTCAACAAATGAGAAGTAAGCCCTAGTTTTATGTTCTAAGCCAAGTACTTAAGCGCTGAGCTTTCTATACCTCATGTGTTAAAATGAGAATAATTAACTTATGATTACTACCAAGATAAGGAATACCATGTAAATAATCTAGTTTAAAATAAAGCACTCAGTACTGATGGCTATTGTTACGAAAGAATGTCACAGCAAAAACAGGGATATTCAGCAAATGAAATAGCTTGCAGACATCAAAATAGAACCAGGTAGACCATCTCAAGACAAATACATGATCCTTTTCCTCCTCTCTCTCTGATGGATCACTGGCCAATTTTAGTTCATAAAAATCTCTTGCAACTGTCTCTTCTAATACTTGTACTCTGGACCAGCATCATTACTTTCTTAGGCAACTACAGAAATCTTCTAATGGTTTTCCCATTGTGCTCCAGCATCTTATTAATTTATTGAGCACCTGAAGTGATACTTGGTCTAGACTTGTGCTATCTAAAAGCTAAGCTACTTGGTAATTACCAATAAGATCCTGCCTATCTCTCCAGCCCTGGCTCATATGCCACTTCTACTTGCTCAGGAAGCTGTATCCTTCACGCACATCTAGTTCTCCCTGTCCATCGGGACCTTCTAACCAGGGTTTTCTCTTTGCTAGTATACCACCACATACTCTAAATCATGTGGGCCCTGTTAATTGCTGCTCATCATTTAGGCCTTGGCCCGAAACATACCTCTAGTGAGGCTATACCTGATGTTTAGTCTAAATTATGGTCTTTTTCATATTTGACCTTATGTCATTGATTTTTCTTTAACAGCACTCATTTGTAATATTATAGGCATCTGTGCAGATACAATAAGATCAAGAATATCTGATCCTCCAATAGATACTCAGCTCTTGGCAAAATGCCTAAAACATACAAGAAGCTGAGGCACTAAACGAAGTTTTAGGTGTACTGTTCTCAAAAATAAAATTTAAGAAACACATATGGTCAACTCTTATTGTTTACAGTAGTTATGTTCTATAAATTTGCCAGAAACATTGAGTTATTAAATACCAAACTACTGCTTTCATTAACTGAATATAGTATATATAATCTTGTTTTGCACTTCTATTTAAAGACACTTGATATTGTTGGTTGATTACTATTGAATGTGTGGACAATAGCACTATAATTTATGCCTAAACAAATCTTCTCTAACATGTATGTTCTCCATAAGGCATATCATAGTCTTCTTGTGCTTAGGAACACTAAACAGTACTTAATACTATGCTTGGGGCCATTTTATTTGTTTTTGTAGTGCTGGGGTTTGAACCTAGGGCCTCACACATGCTAAACAGGTGCTTTGCCATGGAAATAAACCCCAGGCCCTCGGGTATGTTTTAAACAATGAGATCACCAACAGAAGGCACAAAAATCTGATCCCAACACTATGAAACAAGAAAACAAAAGAAAAAAAAAAAGGAAGAAAGAAAATATGGAAAATGTGACACTAAGAAAAGTACAAAAAGATACTTTTTTTACAGTATGAGAGTTAAAATAAAGCAAAGCAACATCTTGTTTGATCTCAGCTGGGAAAGTATGCAGTGGGAGATAAGATATTTTTCCCTTCTATATATAACCAGGAAAGCTATCTGAGCAATGGTTTTGGGAGTACAAATAAATTTTAGTAAGTTGGTGAATTTGTAAATATAGATTCAATAAGGACTGTATTTTTATTAAAAATGAGGTATAATTTCTATTAGAACTGGCAGCCTCTCTTTATCTCTCTCTCTATATACATATTATGTACACATACACACACACATGCACACACGTATGAGTTCACCATTTCTTGTTCATGAATCCATAACTGAAACTGCCAGGACAAAGGATACTGGAAAAGCGGTAGCAGCAATAAAACTTGGAAGCTGGAAAGCCAATTAATTAGTAAACAGTAAGTGATTCTGCAGACCAGGGAAACAAGACCCTAAGTAGGTAAATTCTACAAAGATGACCCATGGTGCAGATCTGTAAAAATAAAGTATTGAAAACATCAGATATTTCAAATAATGAGGTGAAGGAGAAATACCAAAAGCTGAAGAATGAGTTCAAAGGTTTTATGAGATCCCCTCCATACTCCACATAGAAGGATGATTAACTTCTCTTCAGTCAGAAAACTAGAAATATAGAAAAATGAATGAGAGAGAATTTGAATTCAGAATATCCTATATAGTTGTAGGCATGATTACTGAATTAAGAATAAAATATTAACATAAAATATACCTACTTGTGATTATAGTAAAGAATATATCTGACCTTTGTCCTGAGTTCTTTTTTTTTTTTGGTACCAGGGATTGAACTCGGGTCCTTGCACTTGCGTAGCAGGCAATGAAACCACTGAGCTAAATCCCTGGCCCCTGTCCTGAGTTCTTGGCATAGAGCTTCAAAAGCCCTTGGAATTTCCTGATAAAAATGACTTTCATTAATCAGAATGAGTCCTTTCTGGCCATACTTGAATTTATGTTAATGAGGTGATTCATGATGTGGCCACAGATCATTTCAAGGGAGAAGTTGGTCAAAAGACTAGGTCTGTGATTAGACAGTTGGGACTTTCAGCCTCACCCTAACCCCTGACCTCTCAGGACAGGAGACAGATTAAAGACTCAGTTCAATCATTAGGCCAGAAAGCTAATCAAGCATACCTATATAATGAAACTCTAAAATTGAAGGTGAGGATTGGGAGAAGTTTACTAGTTGGTAAACATATCAATAGAGAAGGATAAGTGATATATCCTGACACCATGGGGACAAAATTTCTTGTGCTTGAGACCCTCCTAGTCCTTGCCCTATGTACCTTTACCTGGCAGTTCATTTATATCTTTATATAAGACAGTGATCATAAGAATAGTGCTGCCATGAGTTCTGGAATTATTCTAACAATTTACCAAGGTGTTCTGAGGTGCTAAGGATATTCTAGTTCTGCCAACCTTTCCTTTTTCTTTTTCTTTTCTTTGGTACTGAGGATCGAACTCAGGACCTTGCACTTGCAAGGCAGGTGTGGCACCACTGAGCTAAATAAATCCTCAGGCCTGCCAACTTTTTAAAAAAATGTAGTGCTGGAGATCAAACCCAGGGCCTTGAGTATGCTAGGCACATGCTCCACCACTTAGCTACATTCCCAGTACAAGAATGTTCTATTACTATCTCAAGTGCTGGTTACATGGATGGATTCCCTTCACACAACTTATCATGTTCTATAATTACGTAGTTTTCTGTATATGTGATATAAATTTTTTAAAAAAGTAAAAGTTTTACTTTTTAAAATGAAAGAATAAATTGCTAAATCAAGGAAAAGCTGATCAAAGAAACTGAATAACTGGAAAGTAGATGAAATGTAAACTAGTACAGGGAAAGGAAAAAACCATACATTTATATACATGTATTTCTTAGGGCAAGAATACCTTCTGCTATATAATTCTAAATACAGCATATATTAAGAAGGAATGACATCTAAAATGTAGGTTGACTAACTGTTTTGAAAATAAAGGCATTTACTATACTGCAGTAGGAAAAAAGTATAGGAAGGGGGAAAACATGATGACTCATATGGAAGAGCCCTTGGGCCTTTGAGGGGAGGGCCTTGAGAGCCTCATAACATCTCAGAAGTAATGTCTTCTCATAGCTCTGCTCCTGCTCTATAATCTCTCACTTACCTGAACACAGGTGTCTGGTCAGCTCTTTGTCCACTGTCCAGGGCTCTTTTCCTTGTTCCAATAATGAGATCACAGCTGGCTTAGAACTGGAAAATCCTGGTCACAAGAAAAGACATGGGAATCGTTATGCTGCAGGTGTTCCAGAAATCAGATCTAGTTCTTTAGTGATCAAGGAAGAGATGCCAATACAGAGAAGAGCTGAGAAAGATGAAAAAGATGAAGCTTCAGCTGCAGCCCCCCTGGAGCTGCCCATTTCTAGCTCTTCCATTCCATTTCAACTCAAACCATTCCTTGGTGAACCAGGAGTAGAAATTCAGTAGTTACTTGAAGTGAATAATTCACAATTTAAAAAGGAGACATTTTTAAGGGCAAACTCTGAATTTCGAAGGGTAGCTTTCCTTACTTTACTCACTGAAATCAGGTTGGTGAAATTCTCCAACATCACTTCTTTGTATAAATTTATCTGATCAGAGTCCAGGGATTCCCATTCCTCCTGAGAGAAGTCTATGGACACTTTCCTGAACATCGCTGGCCCCTGAAACAAGAAACATGCTCTTACAAAGGAAAGAGAGAAGATGATAGTAGAAGAGATAGAAGGCTCTGCAGGAAGGAACGCAGTAAGCAAATAAAAGGGGCTGGCATCGTGTCATTAGAAGACATAACTTTTGTGTACCAGTGTTTATGTCTTGGAATGGATAAATAGCTTGAACTTTTCCAAAGATATGAAACAGAAAGCATCTAGCTCAATGAGGAAGTTCCTTCCCCTTTCCCTTTTTTCACTTTAAACCTTAGAAGAGGGAAAATGTGATGGACTTTCACAACTATCTTACACTATATTTTAGAGTAAAATTTCAGAGTATCAAGGAAAAAGAACTTTCTAAAAGCTAGAAGAAGACAACCACAAAAAAAAATTTCAGAAACTAGAATGGCAATAAGACTTCTTACAACAGCATTTGGAATCCAGAAGAAAATAAAACAATTCCTTTACTACTATTACAAAGCCAAATGAATTCTGGCTCAGAATTCTATATTAACTCAAATTAACAAGCTAGTATAAAGATTAAGTCAAGAGAGTTCTATATGGCAATTATAAAATTGTCTCTGATGTAGCTTTTCTTAGGAAGGTACTGGACTACATTCCATCAAAACTTGGAAGTAAAGTAGAAAAATTAAACAGGAAAACTAACACAAGGATGCTGAACAAAGTCCCAGCATAACTGTAAAAGGCAAGTCCCAGGAAAATATCTGGCAGCAGACCTGGGGAAAAATATTTAGAATCAGAGGACAGAAGACTGTAAGGAAGGAGCTCTGCAAGGAAAAATAAGGAGTTAATATGTTTGATCATGTGGAAAATATTTACAGTCAACTGAAAGCCATATTAGAGGATTAGAAAAAAAATGGCACAACATATATGGACCTAGGCAAATTAAGAAGCAAGGCAGTTTACTCTCAGAAAAATGAAAATTGTACTAGAAAGAATCCAAGGTCTAGTATACTATTTGGCTAAGATTAACAATATCTGAAAGATCCTAATCACATGGATAAGATGACTTACGATATAACTCCATTGGAGGGAAACAAAATGAGGAAAATGGAAAAATCTCAATACACCTTTACCTGGCAGGTCACTAAAAATATTTATCAAAAATAGCAATATAGGGATATTAATTTGAAAAATGCCAAGACAAACACAAAAAGAGTTGAAGTAGCATGAGGGGAGTAGGACTGGGTAGTGGGACAATGACTAATAATTTTTCATAAATCTTCCAACATTTCTTGAACTACAGAGGTACTGGTGATTGCATTAAGCTATATTCCCAACCCCCTTTCTAAAATTTTGAGACAGGGTACTAAGTTGTCCAGGCTTGCCTAGAACTTGGTACAGTATCCTTCTGCCTCAGCCTTCCTAGAAACTGGGAGTATTCACCATTCACCACCATGCCTGGTTGGTTCTCTTTTCTAATTTTTACACTATTTTTCTCTTGTCTAAGTACCTGGGTTAATATCTTCAAAAGAATGTTAAATAACATTGGTAATGGTGTATATATCCTTTTTTCTACCAGTTTTATTGGAAATGCTTCAAATATTTCTTGATTAAACACTAGGTTAGCTTCTGAAAACAATTTTATTCCTTTTGAAATTTATTTTCTACTACAGCACATTATTTCCTTCATTAATCTTCATTAATATTGGGCAATAATCTTCACTGTAGAAATGGCAAAGATAATTGTAGGTTGATGGGAGAAGGTAGCCAGATTCTCGAGATTGGCATAGAAAAAGGGGTTGGGCAAACTCAGTCCTCTTCTAACAAAAGTCAGATAGGACAGCCTTAAGTTGAGTAGATTTGAGAAGATTATTCTCACTCTGATTTTCATTGCATCTGCATCATTGCATCTGTATCACACATATTTTTAAAATTAAGAGTAGACCCATTCTAAGTTCTAAATTTATACCTTGAGAAAACACTTTTCCTATACTGAGTCCTCTCTCCTAGTCCCTTCTATTTTCAGATAAAACAATCATATGTTGAATGGATTGCCTTAGGATTTACTGAATTCCCCAAGAGACAAATTGAGTACTGATATATTACTATCACTTGGGGGAAGAATCCCAAAACTCTGCCCACCACCTACTCCTGAAATGAGGTAAAGTTCTTTTGCTTAATATTGTTTTCCTTTAAACTATAAATATCAACTCTAGAAACCAAGAATAAATAAAGAGACAGAAAAGAATGAAATTCTAACCGTGAAGGAGAGAGGATAGAAAATGAGACAAAGGAAATCTCTGAAGAGATAAAGACTGAGGATTTTTCTGTACCAGTAGATACCCATCCACGAATTCAATAATCCTTATAAATTCCAAGCAGATAAGTGAAAGGAAATGCACACTTAAGATATATTAAAATTATAGGGAAAAAATCAAAGTCCTTTAAAAAGTCAGAGAAAGCAAAAACAGACTACCTTAGAAGGAGAAGTGCTGAAGTAATTAAGATTGACACAGGGATAAGCAAATCAATGGAATAGAATATGGAGCTCATGAATATTCCCATGTACTTATGGACAATGGACAAACAGAATGGAGTTTCCAATATATGGTATTGAGAAAAAGTGGGGGGGGGGAAACCTGACCCATATACCTGCCAGTTACAAGTGGAATTCTTTTTTTTGTAGTACCAGGAATTGAACCCAGGGCCTTTGCACTGAGCTACATATCAGCCTTTAAATTTTTTTTTTTTACTTTAAAAACAGAGTCCTTATCTCCATAGATGCAGAAAAAGCATTTGACAAAATCCAACATGCATTTATGATAAAAACCCTACAAAAATTGGAGTAGATGGTCTCTACCTCAAACTGATAGAAGCCATCTATGAAAAACCAACAGCCAATATCATACTAAATGGTCAAAAAC